CGTGGGGAATTCCAAGGAAAAGGGAGAGGGTCTGGCAGGCACTGGGAGAGCTCGCAGGGAATTCCAAGGAAAAGGGAGAGGGTCTGGCAGGCACTGGGAGAGCTCGCAGGGAATTCCAAGGAAAAGGGAGAGGGTCTGGCAGTCACTGGGAGAGCTCGAAGGGAATTCCAAGGAATTCTGTGCAGCCCAGCAGGAGCCGGAGCCTTTGGGAAAAGCCAAGGAGGAGCAGGAGGAAGGAGGGAGAAAGTTCCTTTAAACCCGACTGATTTTGGTGGGAATTGGATGGTTCTGGGGCTCGAGAGCTCCCGGAGCTCGGCCCGGCTCCGATCCCGAATTCCCAGCTCTCCCCTTCCCGGTACCGGCGCGATCCCGTCCCACAGCCGGCGAGGGAACGGCCCTGCCCGGAACCCGGGGGGGTTTTCCAGAGACCCCTTGGACGGTGCAGAAGGAAAACGGAAGCGTCTGGAGTCGGGAAAAGGCGATGCCGGAGCCGGGACGGGAATTCCCGGGAAGAGCAGGACACCGGGGCGGCTCCCAGGCCACCCCCGGGAATTCCGGCGGCCTCGTAAAATCCGTGTTTTGGGAAGGGGAGAAAAAGCTCCCAGTGCCCAGTGCAGCTGCTTTCCCACGGGAATGGGGTGGCTGATGCCAGGGAGCTTCGCCCGCCTCCCGCTCCAACTTTATCCGGAGGCAGGAGCCACGGGATTATCCCGGTTTTCCTCCCCGGGGAGGCCCCCCCGAGGCTGTAAATCCCAAACCGGGGGATGATCCAGGGGCAATTCCCTCTCAGACACTTCCGTTTTCCCGGGGCGGCGGGATCAGGACCCCCCCACCCCCGGCTCCGAGGGGATCCCTGGATCCCGGACAGGGAATTGCATCCCAGGAGTGAGCACGCTGAGGGAGAGCTCCGGGAATAACCTCAAGTTGGGAACCCAGGAATTCTGGCCTCGGCAGGTCAGGACTCAACCTCAAATCCCACAAAAAATAACGGGAATCTGGGGGACATAACGCACTTCCAGCCCTTCCCCCCCCGTGCGTTCCCAAAGGAACTCCCTTCCCAAGGGAATCTCATCCCACCGCAGCAGCTCTGGGCTAATAAATCATAAGGATTTTGGCTTCCCAAGGGCCGGGAAAAGCAGGTGGGAGCTGAATCCCAGGATCCAGGATCCCTATCCCAGGATCCAGCTCTCCCTGTCCCAGGTCCCAGCCCGGGATGGCCCCGAATCCCTTTTTTTTTTTTTTTCCGGCTGTTGGGAAGAGCCAGGAGCGGGCAGGGAGGGGACGAAGCCAATTTCCACCTCGTGGATCCCTCTGGGAATGCTGGGAATGCCCCCCCCCCCCTTCTCCCAGCAGCGTGCTCCATCCTGGGAAGCGGGGTCGGGAATGCTGCTCCCGGCACTAATCCCGCTCCACGGTACTTACCAGGATCTCCCCCTTGGGGTGGGCAAAATTAAGGGATAAAAAGAAAAAAAGGCAGGATGAGGAGACAGGACAGGGAAGGGAAAGGAAGTGACGGGAGAGAGCGGGAAGCACAAAAAACGGGAAGGGGGGGAAAAGCAGAAAAAGAGCAGAAGAAAACCCGTTACATGCTATTAATGACGGTCATTCCCGGCGTTAATCATCCCTCGGAGCGGCTCTTCCGGAGGGAGCAAAGGGCCTGGGGCCACCGGAGGGGCACGGCCCCCTCGGCCCAACACCCCCTCGGCAGCGGGAGCACGGCGGGGGGGACTCGGATTCCGGGACATCCCGGTGTCCTCCCTGTCCCCATTCCCGGAGCCAGGACAGGGGGGGACATGGATTCCAGAAAATCCCAGTCCAGTTCTCATTCCCTGAGCCAGGATGGGATGGAGTGGACACGGATTCCAGGACATCCCAGGGATGGGGGGACACACAGATTCCAGGACATCCCGGTGTCCTCCCTGTCCCCATTCCCTGAGCCAGGATGGGGGGGGGACATGGATTCCTGGACATCTCAGGGATGGGGGTGGACATGGATTCCAGGACATCCCAGTGTCCTCCCTGTCCCCATTCCCTGAGCCAGGATGGGGGGGGGACATGGATTCCAGGACATCCCAGGGATGGGGGGGGGAGACATCCCAGGGATGGGGGGGGGGACATGGATTCCAGGACATCCCAGTGTCCTCCCTGTCCCCATTCCCTGAGCCAGGACAGGGGGGGACATGGATTCCAGAACATCCCAGTCCAGTCCTCATTCCCTGAGCCAGGATGGGATGGAGTGGACATGGATTCCAGGACATCCCAGGGATGGGGGGGACACAGATTCCAGGACATCCCGGTGTCCTCCCTGTCCCCATTCCCTGAGCCAGGACAGGGAGTGGACATGGATTCCAGAACATCCCAGTCCAGTCCTCATTCCCTGAGCCAGGATGGGATGGAGTGGACACAGATTCCAGGACATCCCAGGGATGGGGGGGACACAGATTCCAGGACATCCCAGGGATGGGGGGACACACAGATTCCAGGACATCCCGGTGTCCTCCCTGTCCCCACCCCCAGGGCTGGGCTGGGTCCCCCAGCAGCTCCTCCCGCCCGGTTTGTCCCAGATCCCGCTGATTTTAGCCGGGAATTCCGCTCCCACTCTGCCCCAGAGCTCCGGCCCTCCCGCCTCCATCCCTGGCCTTAAACATCCACGTTCAGGGATCCACTGGGATCCACTGGGATCCCGCTGCCCGAGCTCCCAGTGCTGCCGGAGGGGGATATCCTGGAGAGCCAGCCCTGCTCCCGGAGGAGCAGCAGCAGCAGCAGGAGGAGGAGGAGGAAGAGGAGGAGGAGGAGGAGGAAGGCCGGGAGTGTACCTGGTTGGGAATCGCCCTCTTCTTGTTGGTCTGCGTGTTCCTCTGCTGCGCGCTGGAAAACAGGGAAAAGAGGGAATTTCTGAGGCGGGGAAGACAAAGCCGAGCCGGGGCCACCACGCAATTCCCGCCCGGAACGCCGCAAGGATGAGCTGATCCAAAGGGGGGGAAAAGCCCGTCAGGTGGAATTCCAGAGCCCCTTCCCGAGGTTTGCCCAGGAGCGGGTGGAGAGGGGGGGGACGGACACCGGGATCTCCTTCCTCACGGACCGTTATTCCCAGGAATTCCAGGGGGAGGAACTGGCAGGAGAGGAAACACCAAGTGGAGCAGCGGCTGCGGATTCCCGAGGGAATTCCGGCGGGGAGCCCGGCCCCGAGGACCACGGAGAACCAGGGAGGCCTCGCTTCCGAAAAGCCCCGATTCCCCCCGGCTGGGGAGCGGGATTGGGAGCGGGACGGAGCGTTACCTGCACCAGAGGGAAAGCTACCTGTCTCTCCTGGGCACCGGGGGGACGGGGCGGAACCGTTAGGCAGGAGCGGGAATAAAATCCGGGAAGACAGTTAGAATCCCGCCGGGACAGCCCGGAGCAGCAGTTCCCGAGCACCCATCCCTGGGAACGGGCGGGATCCCAGCCCTGACCTGCCGGGATTCCGGGGGGGGGGGTTTGGGGAACTGCTCTCTGCCTGCCCTGATCCCGACATTCCTCCCGAATCCCCGGGAATGCCGCTCCCGGCATTCCGGGGCGGAGCGGGGATGCTCTCCGAGGGCTCGAGGAGAAGCTCCAGGCTCCCGAAAATCCAAGGTGGGAAGTGGGAGGAGAAGCTCTGGGCTTCCAATTCCGAAGCTGAACTGGGAAGAGAAGTTCCCTGGCTCCCAGATCCAAGGGACAAATTCCCTGGCTCCCAATTCCAAAGCTGACTGGGAGGAGAAGCTCCCCAGCTCTTGAATCCAAAGGGGAATCTCCCCAACTCCTGGCTCCAAAGGGGAATCTCCCCAGATCCCAGCTCCAAAGGGGAAGCTCCCCAGCTCCCAGATCCAAAGGGAAGCTCCCCAGCTCCCAAATCCACAAGGGAAGCTCCTGAACCCAAAGGGGAAGCTCCCCAGCTCCAAAGGGGAATCTCCCCAGCTCCTGGATCCAGGGGGGAAGCTCCTGAACCCAAAGGGGAAGCTCCCCAGCTCCCAGATCCAAAGGGAAGCTCTCCAGCTCCATGGGGAAAGCTCCCCAGCTCCCAGCTCCAAAGGGAAGCTCCCCAGCCCCCAGATCCAACAGGGAAGCTCCCCAGCTCCCAGATCCAAAGGGAAACTCTCCAGCTCCATGGGGAAAGCTCCCCAGCTCCCAGCTCCAAAGGGAAGCTCTCCAGCTCCATGAGGAAAGCTCCCCAGCTCCCAGCTCCAAAGGGGAAGCTGCCCAGCTCCCGGATCCAAAGGGGAAGCTCCCCAGCTCCCAGATCCAGGGGGGAATCTCCCCAGCTCCCAGATCCAAAGGGAAACTCTCCAGCTCCATGGGGAAAGCTCCCCAGCTCCCAAATCCACAAGGGAAGCTCCCCAGCTCCATAGGGGAATCTCCCCAGCTCCTGACTCAAAGGGGAAGCTCCCCAGCTCCCAGATCCAGGTGAGAAGCTCCTGAACCCAAAGGGGAATCTCCCCAGCTCCCAAATCCACAGGGGAAGCTCCCCAGCTCCATGGGGGAATCTCCCCAGCTCCCGACTCAAAGGGGAATCTCCCCAGCTCCCAGATCCAGGCGGGAAGCTCCCCAGCTCCCAAATCCACAAGGGAAGCTCCCCAGCTCCATAGGGGAATCTCCCCAGCTCTCAGCTCCATGGGGAAAGCTCCCCAGCCCTCAGCTCCCAGAGGGAAGCCGCCCAGCTCCCGGATCCCGCCGGGAAGCTGCCGGGGGCTGCGGGAAGGGGGTCCTGCCGCCGGTACCCACCCGGTCGCCACGTGCTGCTCAGTGAAACAGCTGGGGCGGGAGAGGATCGGAAGAGTCCGGAGAGACAGAGAGAGGTGACGGATCCGAGGGGGAACAGCAGAGAGCAGGAGGAGAGGAAGGAACGCGACCGGAGGTGGAAAGGCAGAGACAGGAGAGAGAGAAAAAAAAAGAGGGAGAAGAGAAAACAGGAGGAAGACTGTGGGGAATTTAAGGAGCAGGAGTGGGCGTGGGCTCGGGGCACCCGCGTGCCAGAGCTCCCGGGGCTTCCGGAAGGTTCCCGGCCGGTTTGGGGCCGGAAAACACCGGCCTTCCTTTGGGAGAAGCCGAGGGAAGGCAGCAGGGACAGAGGACAGGGGGCATTCCCTGCTCCGTTCCAGCTCCAGGGGACGGGACGAGGGTCGTTCCTGAACCTCGGGGATTCATCCAGGCGGCCCCGGAGGTTGGACACACCCATTCCAGCTTTTCCCAACGCTCCCATTCCAGCTTTTCCCAGCCCTCACAGCGGGCGGTGGCAAGCGGAGGAGAGGAAGCTCCCGTCTCCCAGAGCTGAGGGAATCGGGTGCCAAAGGTGCCAAAGGTGTGGATTTGGTGGGAGACGACGGGATGGGGGAGGCTCCAGCCTTCCCATGGCCGATCCCAGAGGGATAACACGATCCCAGGATAACACAACCCCCCCCAGGCCGGGGATGGGACCACCAGCCTCGCCGACGGAGAGTTCGGGATTTATCCCCCCCCCTTGGAAAAGGACTCACTTGGCAAATCCGATGAAATCCTCGTGGTTGGTGTTGATGTAGGAGAGCTCGATGTCGATCAGCAGCAGGATCTGGAGGGACCAGGGAGGGTGGGAATTTCCAGGGAGCCCAGACGGAGCCCCAGGGACGCGCGAGGGGCCGGGGAGGAGCGGGATGGGGAGGGACGGCCCCGGCTGGGCTCACCTGGTCCTTGGTCTTGCCCTCGCGCTCCCGGATGTGGGTGGTGACGATCCGCTCCGTCTCCTCCCGCAACCTGGGGTAGGAACCGAGCTGAAAAGAGAGGGAGAAGGACGGGGAAAAACCGCTGCGGGGGGACCGTGGCAGCGCCGCCAGGGCACCGACTCGGTTCTGCCAAATCCACCCAGGCCAGGTCCTGCTTGAGGGCACCGACTCAGTTCTGTGCCAAATCCACCCAGACCAGGTCCTGCTCGAGGGCACCGACTCAGTTCTGTGCCAAATCCACCCAGACCAGGTCCTGCTCGAGGACATGGACTCAGTTCTGTGCCAAATCCACCCAGACCAGGTCCTGCTCGAGGACATGGACTCAGTTCTGTGTCAAATCCATCCCAACCAGGTCCTG